ATTCTCCACTCAAACACGTGAAGGCCTACATTCTCCAGAAGCAAGGAGTAACAGATGTTTGACTTTATCGTGACCACGTTCTACAATGTTTCGACAACGTGTATGTTTCACACACAAGTTTTTACTTGGTGATTCTGGATGTTAAATATTTATGAGTAGGTGTAACTGTATCCTTGGCCCCTTTCGCTATGATACTTAAAAAAAAATCTTGGAAAAAGCAGATGTTATGAAAGAAACTTCGTAATGAAAAACTATATCATATATAAACTATTTCAAGAGGGTAAAACTGTGTCACTCTACACTTTTACTACTGGGAGTACTTTAGCCTTGAACTAAGAGCTTATTGAATAACGACAACAACAAAAAAAAAAAACAGTGGAGTTAGTATTGAGGTAATCTTCTTGCCAAAAAACCTATGGAATTGCTTTATAATAAAAATGTTGTATGTCACAATAGTAAATATACATGTACAGCCCACACACCTGCAAGACTTTTGATTGGTTTAAAATGGAATCCGTGAAACGTCATACATTCCGTATAGGGAGGATATTGTTTCCAAAAACTAAAATTCGAAGAACTCAAATTTAAAAGATTTTTTTTTATTGCAATTCAACGAAAGCAAGAGAAAGTTAAATATAGCATAATCTAGTTAGTTTTAGAAGTAGCAGACCACGATGCGAAACGCTTGCTAGTTCAAACGTTTTTCGCTGGTTCGATTCGTGAAAGAATTTGAATAAATGTCCAATAGAACAGGAATTTTTCATACTTTTGCTCGAGTTATACCAATTTATATATAATGAATGTTTTTATATAAACGCTAATGCTCATACAAGAATTCTTTTTAAGTTTTTGAATCATTAAAGTCAGAGTACGTTTAAATATATATATGTACCATAATATTTTAGTTTCTCCACATTTATCACGATTCTACATTTCTATCCTAGAGAAGTACAAAAGACGACATTTTCTCATGGTTAAGCAAAAATCTGCCAAATGTCTAACACGTAGTTTTACCGGTTTCGTGTCAGTCAATAATTACCTTTTAATTTGTGTAATTCACGTTTCTAGACCTGCACTCAGTCAAATTTACTTCTTCTGTGGGAAGAACACGAAACCTGTGCTGGCGAGACGTCACCATTTTGTCATGTAACACTTATCGATTAAAATTACAGATCCTGTTATAAAATCAAGTTAACTGCAGATGGTTTGTTTCCTCCGCATTCCTCTCAATTTGTTCATTACGACTCGATTCTGTGAAATTAAGAGGAGGGGGGGAACGCATCTACATCAGTAGTTAACTTGTTTTTATTGGTTGTTCAATTTCGCTAAAAGTTACAAGAGGGCTATCTGTGCTAGCCGTCCCTAATTTAGCTAGTCATCGCCACCCACCACCAACTCTTGGGCTACTCTTTTACCAACGAATAGTGGGATTGATCGCCACAGCTGAAAAGGCGAGCATGTACGCTAACGGGGATTCGAACCCACGACCCTCAGATTGCGAGTCAAGCGCCCAAACCATCTGATCATGCCAAGCCTAACTTGTTTTTATTGGATACCCAATATTTCACCGGTGTTCGGCTTTTAACACACAGCTTTTAGAGTATTGTACTCAATATATAAATCACTTTTCGCGGAATCTTTTGTCTTTCATTGTCCAGCTCATCTGATGAGTTCTGACATTGAAGGAAAAGCTTATTGGCCAATGATTTGTGGGAAACGAAACACAGATTCGAAATGCTATTTTTTTTTCTCGTCCGCTTTCGGCGTTTAAACCATAACTTTTAAAATAATAGATCTTCCGAAATTAGTAGCAACATTGGTGTCAGTTTTTACTTCATACATGCCTATACATTTTCAGTTTAAAAAACAAAACAGTTGTTTAGTAATGGCAGTATCGAACTGTTCCTAACGTACAACAATCAAAAGTGGTAATGGCAGTATCGAACTGTTCCTAACGTACAACAATCAAAAGTGGTAATGGCAGTATCGAACTGTTCCTAACGTACAACAATCAAAAGTGGTGATGGCAGCATCAAAAATATGTGTGTCTGCCTGTCCCTTTTTTAACTACTCCTATGCCGATCTCAACTAAACTTTGTGGTATGATACTTTGGAACAAGGGACATGTTTAATGGGGGTTCACAAACCCCTCCACCCAATTATATAGATGACGCCACGTCCATAGGACAAAAACCTTTATTAAATGTTCTATGAAACAACATACAGTGGGGGGGGGGGGACACAAACGTCTTGTATATCTCGGAGAGTGCACTAACATTCTCTATGGAGGAATGCAATAAAAGGAATGGCCGCCACTTTTGCAATACCACATAAATTCGGCTGAAGTTTCTACTCCAACAACCACCATAAGGCTGATATGAAGAGCCGTTTCTTGAGTTATACCCACTTCCTACTTTTATCCGTTACCTTTCAACTTTGGATCATAATACACTTCTGCGACAAATGACCGTCAATTAATTAATCACGTGAAACACTGTAGAAGGACATTGAGAGCTGGGCGTTTAAAGAGGGTAACGGAAAGCACCCCTACCTCCACTACTTTTTCCGTTACCTCTTCCTACAAAGTCACCATGACCATCGCACAGTGTTTACCATGTTTTAAGTATATACATATTGAGTTCATAAAGCTTATACCAAAGTTTTGGTGAAGTAATAATGAATACTGTAATAATATGTTATGTTATAAATACAGTGTGTGAAAGTTAGGATTTTGTGTTATTTATCATAACATTTACCCCCACGTTTTTTTAAAGTTCATAACCCCAAAAAAGGATGGGTACTTCAGTTTGTAAAGAATAATCAACAGGTAGAAAAGAAGAAAAAAAAATAAGCTTGGTTGACCGTGGTTCTCATATCAACAACATTACTATCTCCAAGAAGACACCTACAGATAATTTCTTTTCAGACAAATTGTGCTAATATTCTAAGAGTAAAAAACGGAAAAACCGACGTTTTTTTCCACAATGAAAATTGAGTCTTTGTTATTAGTTATATTAGTTACAGCCTACTAGTTTCGGTTACATAGTTATCTTGGACACTAGCCCTGATGATGGTAACTGTGTTACTGTAACTAGTAATACAGATTTTACTTTTCATTGTTCCAAAAAAAAAAACGATTTTTTTGTGTTTTTATTTTTTACTCTTAAATCACCTAATGAATTGAATACGTAAAATAAATTCAGTGACCCTGCCTCCCTTCCAGATAAGGCTATTTCCTACATAAAAAGCCGGCAACTGAGCAATATGAGTTGTTAAAAAGACCAACAACAACGCCTTTTTCAGGTTATGTTTCACAGCAGTAAAGTATCAACATGTTTCACGTAAGTAAGTAAAAGGTTGAGACGAACAATATACTGACTTAACAGAATGGACTCTTGGTAACAGCCAAGGTAACTGGGGAGAATTTTAAAGACTTTGTGCAGCAGCTGGTACTGACATTATAGATTTCACTGGACTGAGCAACAAGTTATTTCCAAAAATAACGTACCAACAACGTAGGTGGCAGATAGCAGATTTTGTTATATGATACAGCTGTCTGGAGTGGGAAAACTCTACAGTGTGAGATACATGTGACAGTACGTGTTTTGTTTTATCTTAAGTCACCCTGTTGAGCACTATAAAACGGGGAGAACATCTCGTTTTTGTATCTATCTAGCTAAAACTCTAGTAAATTACGAGTCGATTTATTTTTTCAGTGACCCGCAAAGCAGGTGAAACATAAACGCTTAAGACCCTACGAACAGAAAAATCTATTTCCACTAGACGAACCAACTTTTAATTTTCAATATATAATTATAATAATTAATTGCCTAAAGTGGGTGATTAAAAATCATTTATCAGCCGTTTCCTGCAAGTGAAAAACATCATAGTAACGTACTTAATCTTTGAGAGAACTAGACTGATGCACGGTTGTCTAACGAAATACTGAAAAGAACAACAACAAAAACAAAAGTTTCGACGATGGATGAAATTTTCATACAATCAGTGCAGTTAAAACCTATCAAGCACATTGAAACACATTGAAGCACTGAGCCAAAATGATCGGTAATTCAGTGTTGAAAAACAATAACGTAAAATGATTGAAAACAAATGTTTTTCCAGCCAAATAAATTATTATTATTATTATTCCTCCTACTATTAAGTTTAAACAATTTTATGACGCCTTTATTTATTTATTATTATTGTGAGACAATGACTTCATTAATAAAAAAAAATAACTCTTAAACAGTCACTATTCTTTATAATTTTAGTAAAGGTTGTTTAATTCGAAAAGAAGTAGACCAAAATGACACGTGTCTTTCTGATACTAAAAATGTCGATAAAGATTCATAGCATAATTTTAAGAAATCCGACATTAAAACTACCGTATATTGTAGCAAGGCAGTTAACGTTGAAATATAATTTCATTGAATTGAAACATTACACTATAATCAACCAGGAAAGTATACATTAGTTAGAATTATTCTGGAAACAAAGAATATTATTATAATAACTTCATTCTAAAAGTCTCTATCCCGTTTAATAACATGAATCGGGTTAAATTCACACTGTTTTCTCTTTGATTTCTTCTTTGGAAACTAGACTAACTATTAGCTAGAGTGTTAACATCAAGTTTTCAGAAGTGATAACATAAAACACATCTAAGAGGAGGGTATTAGAATAACTACTTTGAACGCAGTGGTTCCAAACCTTTCTCCATCTGAAGAGTGAAGTTTCACAAACCACTTCGTACAATATTAACTGGTTAATGTACTTTTATATTACATTGTACAACAATATAATTCAGGAGTTATATTTTAAAATTCACCCATTTGTGGACGACTGAATCTTCCTGTGGACCGGCGGTAGGGAAACCTCTGATCTTGTATATACATTTAATTTTAACATGATGTATTTCTAGTACAAAATTTTATGCCCATATTTTTTCTCACATTGATCAACACCTTTAAGACAAGAAATCGTTCAAAGAACAAAATTACCTGATAACTCCCTGACAGACTGAGACCGAGGAGGATTGAAAACCTACACGAAAAATAAAAACAATTACTAAAGGCTAACAGCTATTTAAAACAGTAATATAACGTACATATCATGATATTTATTCTATATCATAAATAACCTATAAAAACGTGGGTGTTTAATTCTAAGAACTCACGAGTAAAAGCAAAGAAGAAAATGTTATAATATGTCCACCACACTAAATCTGTTATTTCCAGTGTCGACTAGGCCTTTCGCATAATACCAGGGTTCATCATTCTGGCTGGGATACAACAGACACGGGAGTGGTATAGGCGCTACATATATATATATCATCAATTTTCAAGATAACAAATAATCTGTCAAATTAACTAAGAAATGTTCATTTAATAAATCGTGTATATCCATGCGTTTAATAGCGGTTAGCGTGGTAGGTTGTGAATCGTATGGTCGATGTTCGAGCCAATATGCTGTTAAACGTGCTACGCACTTTCAACTGTGGATGTGTTATAAATGTGAATGTAAAACCCAGACAAACAAATGTTGTGGCAAGTGTTGTTAACTTGCTGCTTAATAGTTGAAAATTAGGAAAAAAAAATTTTTGAACCCTAGATGTCTTTTAATTTGGCTCCTTTAAGGTGTCATTCACGTTTAAAATATCAAATTCAATAAGTAACGTGACGACTGCATTACAATTTTATTCAGAATAAAATAGTAACAATATTCAAGGTGCTTAGAAATATTTTTCTTTGTTCATTTCTTGTTAAGCACAAAGCTGCATAATGGATTATTTGAGCTGTGCCCACTGTGGGGATTGAACCTTGAATTATAGCGCTATACATTCCTACGCTTACCGTTGAGCCACAATAAACTCCAGTCGGCAACACTATTTAACGAACAAAGACATAGAGCAATCTAAAAGTATAAATATCCACGTAATTGTTTTTTACAAAAGGTCTTATTTTTCTAAACGTGTTGTATTAGGCATACAGTAAAGTCGATAGACCGATATTAAACGGCGTCTGCTTGCCAAATGGGTTTAATATTGGACAACCGCCACAGTGAACCGAGTGTAACACGTATGTTTACTTATTTATATTGTAGAACTAATGCAATAAAAATGGTCGATGATATACATTATTTGGAATTTTATGTTAAATCAAATGTATAGGCAGATTATCCCTTGGAGTTTGACATTGGCCTCTCTCCACATTATTGACATTTAACACTGTGACACACAACACTCTAAGGATAATTACATGGTTTCTGTATTACTACTACACTGAAACGTGTGGTTTTTATATTACTACTACACTGAAACGTGTGGTTTTTGTATTACTACTACCCTGAAACGTGTGGTTTTTGTATTACTACTACCCTGAAACGTGCGGTTTTTATATTACTACTACCCTGAAACGTGCGGTTTTTATATTACTACTACCCTGAAACGTGCGGTTTTTATATTACTACTACACTGAAACGTGTGGTATTTCCAAGATTTAACTTTCTGTGTAAGAGAAGATATTTACATTTTTATCTGAGAATAAGACTTACTTTTCTGTCACCAATATATTTCGTATGAAACAAGATTGTATTTTGTTAAATCTAAATTGTGCTTTTAAAGAACAAAGTCCTACTCTACGTCTCCGATGCATATTGTTGTGAAAAAAAGAAAATATTTCCTATAATTTGTATCGAACATGATACTAATTATCTTTTGAATGCAGTTTTAGTAAATAATTTCTTGTATAAAATAAATCTTGTACAACAATGAATTTGTATTGATCAGGGTAGTAATTACTTCCGCCACAGAAAATGGACGGAGGCTATGTTTTCACCCCATTGTGTGTGTGTGTGTGTGTTTGTTTGTCAGCAAGATTTCTCGAAAACTGCTTAATGAATTTGGATGAAAGTTGGTATACAGTTGTATTATGGCCCAACTTAGAATTTATTGGTTTTTGGAGGGTCAAGGTCACAATAAGATCACGAAAATCCAAAAAATCCCTACTTCTTAACATGGGGACCGATTTTTCACAAAATTTTTGCCCTATAACTCAGTCAAAAATGATTGAATTTTGATGAAACTTGGTGAACATGTATAGAATGTTATTCCTCATTGTCCTATCGAAAATGGTCCTTGTGCGTTGATAACGACAGACATACGGACAGATTTTCGTATTTTGTTCGAATATGATCAACGCTGTGTCGCGGAGGTATGCGCTCTACTAAGTGTACCTCTAGTTACTTATTGGACACGTCCCTCCCCCAGTGGCACAGCGGTATGTCTTCGGAGTTACAACGCTAGAAAACGGGTTTCGATACCCGTTTTGGGCTGGGCACAGATAGCCCATTGTGTAGCTTTGTGCTTAATTACAAACAAACAAATACTTATTGGACACAGTTTGTAGTACAAAAATCCCTATATAAGTTAAACCTTGATCGATTTGAACATTAGACATGAACTTTACTTTGAAATCGACACAAGAATCTGTTGTACTTTGGGAGTTTCACATTTGTTTACTTGAACTTTCATAAACTCGCGTGCTTACGCTTGTATGCTGTTTTACAAAAGTTATTCTGAAATGTTTGTAGTTTTGCAAAACACTAAACGTATTAATAGTCCAGTATGTTTTAAACTAATTCATTATTAATGTTGTCTGATGTTCATCTGTAGAATCATATTGTTTTTTGTCTAAAAGACGTACTTATTTGCTGTATGACATAACTGCATACACGAACATGTTCAGCAGACGTATATAAACTGTTTAGTGTACAGAAAAAGAGGGTATACTTATTGTACAGAAGCTGTAAGTGATGTCTGAAGGTTTCTACGTACTAAAAAGTATAATATTGTGTATCAGAAGTTATCTGAACGCAGTTAGAGAAATACGAGGTGATCCAAATTCATAATCACACGCAGAACAAACGTAGCCCCAAATGACAAATATTTCACTGCAATACATCAAAATGAAATATTGTGTGGAGTGTACAAATATTGCAGTGAAGCCGCGCTACGTACAGAATGCAATACATACTTGTTCAAGTCGTGCTTATTATATAGTGTATGTTTAGATATATCGATACATACTTGTTCAAGTCGTGCTTATTATATAGTGTATGTTTAGATATATCGATACATACTTGTTCAAGTCGTGCTTATTATATAGTGTATGTTTAGATATATCGATACATACTTATTCAAGTCATGCTTATTATATAGTGTATGTTTAGATATATCGATACATACTTATTCAAGTCACTATATAATAAGCACGTATCTAGATGACATACAATTTTGCATTGTAGCTTTGAAAAAAAAAACACAAAAAACTCTAAAGTCAAGCATCTTAAATTACAAACCATTTCAATACCTAATCTTCTAAATCTTATATTGAAATTGTTCTAGCCTTAATGGCTTTTCACGACAAAGAACGTAACGTTAAAATATTAAAACTGAATTACTAGTTGAATGGTTTCTTAACGCACGAGAAATACTGATATTGCTCAAACAGTTATATTAAACAAATTCTAAGAAACTATAGTATTTTGTACATTTATTAATTTATAAATACATTCAAATGTTAGACTACGAAATAACAACACTACTGTCAAAAGCTTTGAAAAACTGGGTTTCAGTTTTCTTATCGCAAATGACTATAAATTTGAGAATGGATATGTGTAACATGAAAAGATTATAATCCAGCTCTGTACTGTCGTTTCAATGAAATGGTTGTATCTTGGTGTGTATATAATTTAATAATAATAGACTGGATATGCCTAACATGAAAAGATTATAATCCAGCTCTGTACTGTCGTTTCAATGAAATGGTTGTATCTTGGTGTGTATCTAGTTTAATAATAATAGTTTCACCCGGTGGCTAAGCGTTACTTTTGAGTCCTTACAACAGTAAAATTTGGGCTTCGATCCCTACGGTGGGCTCAACACAGAGAGACAGTTGTACAGCCTTGTGCTTAAATAGGTCCTAACGATTTAAATAACTATGTGGCATAGCATTTGTGGTTCATTGATGTGCTTTCGCTTCTTAACACAAACTCTCTCTCTCTCTCTCTCTTGTATTGGAATAAATTCACTGAAATGTCCTTCTGAAAACAGTAACTCCAACAATATTAATTTCTAGTCTAAGTTATATTGTTATCTGTTTCATTGC